CCATGACACAGTTACTCAGTTTCCTACACTGGAATATTTCTGTGTGTAACTGTAAGATTATATTTACTCAAACAGCATACACCTTTGGAGAGTATTGTGAAATTAAATAAATTTGAACACAGCCTTGTTTTCTTGGTTGTCATATTTCCACTTGCACACAGACCCTTGAGGAACATACCCTTTCCTTCTGCATGCAAATTACCTTAGACTTCTCCAGTACTTTCTGTACTCTTCTTCAACTTCCTGGTTACTCCAGGTTCTTCCTAAACAGTAGACATAAGAAAAAAGGAACCACTATTTTAGTATATAATAATTAGTAGATTCCAGTTAGATTCATTTTGTAATATAACCAGACCTGCTACATTCTTCAAAATGTTTTCAAATTCTACTTAATGAAACTGCACCAATGAGCAAGAAACAATGTTTTCTGATGGTGTAAATGAGAAGATGATGTCATCCTTACCTATAGCAGCCATGTTCATAAATGTCTCCCGCATGACATCTCTGTAGAGCTTCTTTTGGGAAGGATTCAGCAAAGCCCACTCCTCCTTGGTGAAGCGTATAGCCACATCCTCAAACGTCACTGCCTCCTAAAAGATCACACATATATTTCTTGAAGGAAGCTGAGACCGGCAGCTTGGAATACCTCAAAGCCTCTCATAAAAAGTTGACTTGACAGCAAGGTGTGGTGGTGCATGTCTATGATCTTGGTGCTCAGGACAATGAGACAAGACTGGTATGAGTTTGAAGTGAGCCTGGGCTATACAGTGAGTTCAAGGTCTTCCTGCACTACATAGTGAGACCCAGGGAAATAGAGGCTACAATCTTCAAATAAGCAATCTGTGTCTTGGTCATCAAACCCATATGGAGGTGTCAGGACTGGCTTGAAAGTGACCTGAGAAACTTGGGCTGCCCACTAAAAACAAGGGACTCTCCATTACTGGCAATAACTTGCCCCTGGTAAACAAGAAGCAAGGGCAATAAATAGTCTGATGTAGGGCTAAGGTTTCCCTGCAGTCCCTTCATGCCAGCTATGCACCAACCTGTGCTGATTGTCCCTAAAGCCTTAAGCTCTAACATTCTGATCCAGATTTTTTGAGATTCCTTTAGATTGCAACCCAAACTTAAAACCTATATATACTCTATTTGTCCTTCAGATATTTGCTGATATTTACTCTGAGGCCAGCCTGCCTGTAGGTAGAGAAATACAGTTTGATCTTCCCCACAGTGTTAGTCTGCATGTGGTCCTCACAAGCCACTGGGTCTGAAATGGTGATAGGAAATATCTTTTGCAAAAAGTTACTTGGCCCAGGGATATAGCTCAGTGGCACAAGTGCCTGCCTAGCAAATGCAAGGTCCTAAGTTCAATTCCTGGTACCCAAAAAAGGAAGAAAAAAGAAAAAACTTACTTGCTATCTCAATCCTTTTCCACTGAGGCCACCCACTGACACTGAGTCCAGATCCTGGTCCACTGTTCCAAGCAGTTTCCCAGGGATTGCCACACTGACCTTTTAACATTGGGTAAGCTCACTTCCTCACTGGGCTTCTAACATTCTTTGCGCCTTTAAGACCCTAGTCCTGGCTGTCAGCAGTTGATTTCAACTCTCGGAGCCTAATTAGCTCTTAGCTCCATAGGATTTTTGCTCTGAAAGTTTAACTCTCTCTGGGATGAACCTCCTTCCTCTCTGCGGTGCAGTTCTTCCCAGTTCCACTGGCTTCTCTAACCCCTTGGGACAGAGAAAGGCTCACTTCTCCTCTGTGCCTGTAAACCTAGCACTAGCTCCAAGGGCTGGATGCTCTGCGAGACTGGCTCCCCTGAGTGACTGGTCAGTCGAGGTGATGATGCACTGGCTCTTTACCCATGTTCCTTGGGCCTTGGCTTTAACTGAAGATGTTCAGTATACACCCTCTTGCTTGTCTTGTTCTGCCAGGCCAGGTGTGACAATGACCTTTCTCTGCTCCTGATAGGTAAGCTTCATCCTTCTATTGCTTGTTCTATCCCCATTCATCTCCCTGGGTGCCTTCTAAAAAATTAACTCTGCTTCCATAATGACCTAAAACAAACATTTAATACACCTCTATAATACTACATGGCTAGCCTACCAACTGGAAAATGGGTTGAGATGGCCAATGAATGGAACCTTCGATCCTTCTATTCTGTGGAAATTAAAAAGTTACTGCCTGAAATTTTAAAAATGGTCAGAATTTCTCTATGTACAGGCATTCTTTACCGTTCATAATGTTCCTACCTTGGGCACATCATGTGATCCCTCTCAAATCCTCCTGTCTCTCCCATGTACACTCATTTGATAAGACATGGACTCCTCTCATAACAGATCCAACTAACCTTGCTCACCCCTGGCAAGGACCAGAGCCTCCTACCACTATGGCTGCTGCTCCTGCTCTGGACCCACCTGTTGTTCCAGCCCAATAAACTTCTTCAGGGTCTCCTGTTGCTCTAGTCGCTTCTTCTCCACCCCAGAGCTTCCTATGGTTACTACTATAGCTCACTGTCCTCCTATGTTGTCTCCTGCTGACCAGGTGCCTGTTTCATACATTATACCTGATCCTACTCCACCATATACCTGATCTGGATTACAATTTGACTCCAAAGCTTTGTCCCCTCCACCCCAGTTCCCATTCCAGGAGGTGGCAAGGGCAGAGGCCATTATCAGAGTTCATTATTTCTTTGTCTTTGGAAGATCTCTCCCAAATTTACCAACATCAGAGCTCCTTCTCCTCAGATCCTTCAGTATATCCAAGAATTTCAATACCTGACTCATTCATAGCCTAAACTGGGCTGATTTAAATGTGATCCTTGGCTCCAGTCTTTCTTCAGAAGAGTGGGATGAGTGATCTCTATACTGACAAACTGCATCTCCATCAGGCAGATCTTCCTGTAGGGATGGCAGCTGTCCCTAAGGAAGACCCTATCTGTGGCTACCAGACAAGATTTAGGGACCTAGCAAGGAGACAACACATGATTTTTTACCTTATTTCTGGTTTCAAAGGGCAGCATATAAGGCAGTTAATTTTAGAAAGCTAAAGGAAACCACTCAGAGCAGGTATAAAAACTTAGCCTCGCTTCAAATGCTGCCAAGATGATCACTGGGTCTAGGATTCCCCCGAAGCTGTGACCTTTCTGTGTGGAGCCCACAGGAAGTCAGACTTCCCAATGCTGGCAGCTGTTTCTGCTGGCTGTGAAGCATGGCTCTGGGACCACCACCTGACCAGCACCTTCAAAGACCTTCTTAGCCTGGCCACTGAGTACTGACTAGGCCTAAAACTGGCAGATGCCTCTTCAAACATTTCAAATGCTGAACTCAAAAGGACTCTCACAGTGGAGGGTATGTCTCGTTTCTAATCAGTACAGGTGCAGTGCCTGCCATTCCACTTTGCTCTCCTTTTGCGGACCAACCTCCTTAGTCCCAATTAGTGTTGTGGGTATTAATGATGAATTATCCAGACTCTTAAATAACTCCCCTGATCTCAGCCAGCTGGGTCAACATATTTTCCTACATTCATTTTTAGTCATCATTACCTGTCCCATTGCTCTTTTAGGAAGACACATTTTGACTAAGTTGTGAGCTCCTCTGCCCATCCCTGGGACACAACCATCCCATCCCTTATAGCTGCCCTAATTACTCCTTCCCTTCCCTTCCCACAGCCTCTCATTATTTTCCCTCATCCCAACCCCAGTGTCTGGAATACTTCTACCCCATCCCTAGTCACTTAATATCCCTATCAAGGTTAATCACCTATATCCTGTTCCAAACAGTGCTGTTTTTTTGATGCAGCTTTAGAGGAAGTACAGCCTACTATTTCACATCTACTGCAAGTCAGCCTTTTGAATCCTATCAACTCTCCTTTCAACACCTTAATTCTCCCAGTAGAACAGGCAAATAGCTCTTACAGGCTGCTACACAACCTCTGCGCTATCAGTTTGTCTTCCCTATACATTCTGTGGTCCCAAACCCTATATCCTCTTATCTTCTATTCCCAAATCTGCCACGCATTACTTGGTTTTAAGATGTAAAAGATGCCTTTTTTACTGTTCTCTTGCACTGCCCTCACAGCTTCTCTCTACCTTCACCTAGACAGACCCAGCTACTCGCCAGTCTCATTGGATCATTCTGATGGATCATTCTCCCACAGTGCTTCTAAGACAGCCCACACTACTTTGGTCAAGCCCTTGTGCATGACTAACTTTCCTTCAACCCTCCTCACCTTACGCAGTATGAAAGGGACATACTACAGCCCCTCCTATGAGTAATCCCACAAGGACTCTCTCACTACTACAGCATCTGGATTCCAAGGGAGAGCATGGTTTTCTAAGACTCAATGATCTTCCCTGAGTGTCACCTACCTGGGCATCACTCTCTACTGGCATACCTACTCCACGCCATACTTCTGGACTGTGTGAGTTTAATTTTCCAGATCCCAACCCCCACCTCCAAATAACAACGCCTCTCCTTTCTTGGCATAATAGTATATTTTTGTCTGTGGGTTCCAGCTTTGCCCTTTTTACTAATCCCCTTTATACACTTACAATGGAAACCCTGCTGAGTCCTTACCACAAGACATTTCCTGCCTCTCTCCTACGAAGTGGAAATTTGGTAGGAAATCTCCCACCAACGTGGAAATTTGCATAAGCCTATCCTATAACTGGACAGAGGTGAAGTGCAATAGGGGTTCTGTAACAGGATCCAACCCCACACCCTATCGCGTTCCTTTCCAAACAGCTCAGCCCCACTATTTTAGGCTGGTCCTCTTGTATGCTGCAGCTACAGCAGTCCTGATGCTCAGAGGCATGCAAGATCACTAGATAGGGTCCTGTCACTGTATAGTCCTCTCACAATCTGCAGGGACTCATGTTTTCAGCCTGCCTCTAACATGTTCCACTGCCTGCCTTCTTCAGCTCTATGCTCTTTTTATATAAACTGCCACAGTTACCAGAGCCCTGGTCCTGATTTCAAGCTGGTCTTCCAGTTCATTAACCTATCTTCCTTTAAAGAGCCAGAGCCATGCGATTGTATGTCCCTAATGCATTCAGCAACCTCACCATTTTAATATATTTCTGTTTCCCCCTTCTCAACTCTGACTACATCCGGCTCATTGATGGAAATTTGCCTAAGCCTACGCTCAACTCCCATGGCAGGGCAGGATATGCTATTATCTCCAAGGATTCTATCATACAAGCTGCTGCCCTTCCACAATGCACCACTGCTCAGCATGCTGAACTAAATGCAATGACCTTTGCCCTCACACTAGCTAAGGGCTTACAGGTTAATATCTATACAGGTTCAAGGAACACATTTCATATATTACATAATCATATTGCAATCTGGGCATAAAGGGAATTTCTCACAGCACAAGGATATTCAATTATTAAAGGCTAATTCATTAAAAGACTAGCTTCTTTAAGCTGCTCTATTACCAACAAAGGGGACACTAGAGACTTTCACATCCCATAGCTTCCAGTAATTCTTCTACAGATGACAAAACTGCAAACAAGGCAGCTAGCAGCCCCTACCAAACCCCTAAGGACCAGTATTTTGTCCTTGCAGGTGTAACTCCAACATAGTCACCT